GCCTAGTCCTTGCGATGGTGCGTGCTGCTGCTGCGTAGGCTACGATGCTTGGCTGCCAGCACTACAAGCAAGCACGCATTGTTGTGATGCTTGCGAAGGGTACTGGGCCTTGCTGAACGCCAGCGTCCTGCCTGCCAGCAAGGCCTGGCCTTGCGATGGCTGCTGGGCTAGCTGGGCGGCATCGCCTAGCACGCAAGCAAGGGCTAGCCTTGCGACGTGTGCTAAGCTTGCGATGGGTGTGCTTGCTTGAGATAGCCCAGCCCTTGCATGGCTAGGCCAAGCGCGGGGCTACGGTCTAACTTGAATTGATATTGATTGATTTCACGTCTCGTTGAATTCTAAATTCGTCTCGACTTGCGACGCTCGGTCTCGACGCCCTATGCTCGATATCCGACGTCTTTGTTCGTAAAACTCTGGCGACTCATTAAGTCTTTCGGATTAATATGTCATCTCGGATAGGTTATTCAATTGGGTTCGACCCGAAGGGTTCAGTCAAGATTAAGTTGTAATATAAATATTACCGATCGGAAGCGGCCTCCACCTAGGCATTCCGATCACTTGACCTTACTGAAGAATCAGCTCTCTGATAATTTTGAACCCTCTATCGGAATAATACACTTGTTGGAAGGACACCATTCCTTTCATTTCTTATGATGATCAACTCTAGTAAATGGACCAAAGATCATATTATATCTGTAACATACACAAATTATATATGTAGAAAATATTAGAACATAGAGGTAAACTTTAGAACATAGAGGTAAATTGTAGAACATTGAGGTATACTTTAGAACATTAAGGGTAAACTTTAGACCCTAGTAATTTTCTGTAATTATTAAACTTGCCAATAATATAGTTGTTTTAAAACATAATGAATTAATCTAAAACATAAACAATAACTTAGAATATAGAGTGAAGCTCTAAAACCTAATAAGTAAACTTTAGAACATATAGACTTAATGTTTAGAACACAAGAAATAATGTTTAGAACATCTGAACATGATGGATATTAGTTTAGGAACACAAGGCATAATGTTTAAAACATAAAAGCATGATGGATATATTTTAGAGCATAAGACATATATGTTTAGAACATTAGCAATATATGTTTAGAACATCAGCAATATATGTTTAGAACATAAGACATACATAGTTTAGAACATAAGGAATATATGTTTAGAACATCAAAACATGATGGATATTTGTTTAGGAACACAAGGCATAATGTTTAGGATATACAAACATATGTTTAAAAAATTAAGATGTAAAAGTAAAATACTAATTAGATTATGAAAGAAATCTACATTTAGAACATCACCTGTTTGTTTTGAATGTGGTATCAAAAGAAACCATATCACCAAAAATTGCATAATTTTTTCGACAAATCGGATCAGCCCATAAAGCTCTACAAAGTCTATCTTCTTCATCAATCATAGGAAAAAAAATGCACTCTAGAGCAATTTCTTATTTTGAAAATTATCCACAAACATTTGGGCATCTGATCCATCAATATAAGCCTTCAAATCTCTATAAAAAAAATTTGAAATCTTGTTTAGATGCACCAACATTATCAAGTGATCCAGCTAATTCTTTCATCATAGTATAAGACCTCACAAGACCAATATTTACCTGTTTACAAAAAAAAAAAAATTACTATGATTAAGGATCAACTTTAGAACATAGTAAATCATAACAAAGAAAACATTATTTAGCACATAAAAATAAATCACCTTTTAATTATCAACAATCAACTTTTTATGCGTAATATGCATTTTTCTATTATCCTTCTGAAATTTTGCACAACTTGGAGTATATAAAGAATGATTATGTTCTTCTTTGAATTGAGTTACAACATACTTTCCGGCATCATTTCTCATACATATGTGAGCATTTCATCCTACACGAGTAACTACACGTTTCCTAGTAATACGAACTTTTCCTTCTTCATCAACTGTTTGTTGAGCAATAGGTTTTCTTATTGCCCTGAAACCTTCCTTATTGCAAACTCCATATTGAAAAGCAATTACATCTTTGTTATTCTTGTTCCTTGTAGTAGTAGATTTCCTAGAAGTAAACCTAGTGGCATTTGCATATGCTTTATAAAAACTAAGACCCTCTTCGGGATCTTTAAATATCATCCCCAGATTGGGTTTTAACTCCTCGAGAACACTTGGAATCCATTCCTTAGTGGTACCACCAGGGCTAAATGATGCAACAACTTCAGGAGTACAATAAATAACACCAACTGCATTAGAACATGAAAGTAAACATTAGAACATGAAAGTAAACATTAGAACATAAAAAGTAAAATTTAAAACTAGAAGGTAAACTGTTGAGTGCCTTAGGTTTTGAGTGATGACAAACGGTTACAGGAAACAGGTTACAATAAGTATTGCAAATAGTTGGTTAGAAACCAGCTGGAATTGAACACTGTTTTTCTAGACAAGTTATTACTTATTTGTGTTATTCATTTAACTAACTTGTCTATATGCAGGAAATGGTTGGATATAAATTGTTCCATGTACTGGTGGGAAACCAGTAGGAACTGTTTGCTCGACTGCTATGCTGAAAAGCAGTCACATACTCTTTATTGTACGTTAACCATGTTACATGTGCATTAGTTAAGTTGATTACAAGACTTGGAGCATAGAGGCCTTTAGAAGAAATTCGAAGAAAGATACATTGCTTATAATGGAAGCATTCAAGGAAGATTCAAGTCTTGAAGATTACATGAAGAAAAGAAGATTTGTACTTTAATGTTTAATCTAGTTTTATCATGTAATGTGCTCTGTAGTATGACTTGCATGTTTGGGTAAAATAAGTGCTTATAAGTGTATTGAGTTATATTATGAATTCAGGTACAAAGCTGGAACAGAATTCACAACATACTCAATTCAAGGAACCAGGTTGAGGAACCAGGTTCACTGTACGGAATATCCGAGCTGCGTGTTTTGAAAAATATTTTGTAAAATTATTTTTCAAAAAATCATTTTGAAAATATCCTAAGCAGCTGGAAATTAGATGAGAATATTGTGGTTACCTAAAAACTAGGATTATTTATCTTAATTGATTTTATCTTTATGATTAAACCAAATAAGATAAATACTTTCCTAAAATCACATTATTGCTTGTTCATCAAGATTATGTGATTTAAGGAAACTAGGGTTTTTGTATCCAAGTATCCTATCTATTTTTGAATCATGGAATTTTCTTCCAGAGCTGCGGATAAACTCATCTAGCCTCTCATATTCCGTAGAACTCTCTCTGGAATTAAAAAGGGAGTAATTTTTTAGAGTCAAATACACTTAAGCACAAAAGCCTATTCATCGAGTCATATACAAGAGCACGCTTAAAGCTTAAACATTATCTCTTAATTAGCTTTTAGAAGTGAGATCAAAAGAGAGCATTTGATTTTGTCAAAGCCTTCAACAAAGGGGTTGAAAGGCTGGGTTAGTGTTTGTGAGTTCAAACACAAGGGGCTTACTAGTGTAAGTCGAGCGCACATTCGGAGTAGAGTGTGGGGTATACTGGTTCCCGGAGTAGGGATACAGTAGGGTGTCTGTGTTCTTTTTTTTTCGGAGTAGATTAATAAAAGAGCATAGGGTAGGAGGACGTAGGCCAAAGTTGGCTGAACCTCGTTAAACCTTGTGTTTGCTTTATTGCTTTTCTTACATTCCGCTGCTTACAGGAACCAGCCCAACTGGTTCCTCTCATAGATCGAAAAAGAAGTAAAATAGGCCAAGGCTACTTAACACTCAATTCACCCCCCTCTTGAGTGCTCTAAAACCTTCAATTGGTATCAGAGCCTAGGCTTCTCACAAGAGTAACATCTAGAGGAGACAAGCATGAGTACTCAAGATCTAAATGCTATGGGCTATGACAACAAGACACCAAAGTTCAATGGAAATAACTATGCTTGGTGGAAGAATAGGATCAAGAATGTAATCATGGGGATTGATTATGAATGTTGGCTTGTTGTCAAGAATGGTCCCAACATCATCCTCAAGACATATGCTGAAGGAAACCGGGTTCCCAAGAAAGACAGTGAATTAGTGTCTGCTGATTACAAACTACTGGAGAAGAATGCCAAAGCAATGTTAATTCTACAACAGGCTATAGGTGAGAATAAAACAAACCAAATCTCAGGTTACAACAATGCAAAAGAGATTTGGGATACCCTCGAACTCGCTTTTGAGGGAACCAGCGAGGTAAAATGGTCCAAAATTGATTTACTTATATCTAAGTATGAGCTGTTTGCTATGAATAAAAATGAAAAGATTAATGATTGTTTTCGTAGATTTATGACAATTATCAATGATCCTAAATCTCTTGGTAAGAACTTTTCTGATGAGGATCTTGTGAGAAAAGTTTTGCGCAACTTGACAGATGCATGGACAGCCAAAGTAACAACAATCTATGAAGCAAAAGATCTGTCCACCTTGTCTCTGGAACAGCTAATTGGTACCCTCATGACTCATGAGATGTTGATTGACTCTAAGTCTGAGAAAGAACCAGCCAGAGGCATGGCTCTTAAGGGAACTATAGAAGAGGAAGAAGATGAGATTGGCATGATTGCTAAAAGATTTGAGAGATCAATTCGAGACCAGAGGAAGAACTTCAAAGGTAAGAACTTTAAGAAGTCTAACTTCTTTTCTGCAGGTTGCTTCAAGTGTGGTGATAAGGGACATCTTATTCGAGATTATCCTAGGTGGAAGGACAAACAGTCCCAATCTGGCGATAAATGAGCCTTCAAGAATGCTATGATAGCATCCATGTGGGGTGATTCTGACTCAGGGTCTGATGAGGATGAAGAATCACCTAACTCTGATGTTTGCATGACCGCCTTTGTAAACATTAAGGGAAACAACATTGATCCAAGAACCAAAGGGGGAACCAGTACATTCAGAAAATGCTTGATGGCAAAGAAGGATGTACTACATGAACACAAGGTAAACTTAGAACAAGTTAGAGAAGATATGCATGAATATGATAGAGATAATATGCTTGCTTGTATTGACTCTTTATTACATGATTGCTATAAATTGGGCGAAACTTACATAACTGGCAAAAGAAACCTTAAAGAAAAACGTGTTGAATGTGAAATTGCTTTTGCTAGTTGTGATCACCTAGAAGAAGTTTGCCATGAACTGAAAAATCAAGTGGTAGAGCTAGAAGTTGAATTGGATAAGTGTAAAGTGGAACTGGAAAAGGCAAGATCTTCTAAACCTGACTATCCTAGTGATGGTGAAGAAGATCTGACCTCCTGGTTCCCCAAAGACTTATCAACCACCAGTGAATCTCTTGATTTTTCAGCAGCTAGAGGTAAAGCAAATTCCTATAGTAGAACTTCTTTGTTGAAAGCCTTTGAAATATTGGCTCGTAATTTGGAAGATTCTCACAAGGAAATTACTTCACTTAAAGCTGCACAATTCACTGTTTCCCTTACAGGTACCAGCGTAGAAATTAGTGATGTGATAGATGAATATGAAAATACTATTTGTGAATTGCATGCTGAAACCTATCAATTGAAAAAGGGCAATCAACCAATAGTTGTTGACATGACTATTGATTCTATGGTTTCAAATCTTAATTTACAACTGGAAGCCTTAAAAAGTAAATTTGATTTTCTAAAAGAGAAAAATGAGTTGTTGACTAAGACTCTTGAAACCAGAGAAAAGGAACTTCATGATAGTCATAGACATGTTGAAAAATTATTGACTGCACAAGAAACATTGAGTTTTTTAACCTCATCAAAAGGTAACAGGGGAAAGGTTGGTCTTGGATATACCAGACAGAGAACCAAGACTAACTGGTCCCCCAGAGAAACCACATGGATTAAAGAATTCAAAAGAGGTAAGTATGTTATGACTAAAGAAATGTATGTTTGCTATCATTACGGTATGAATGGACATAAGATTCATGAATGTCCAGCTAAGAGGAACAGTGTGAATAAGAACAATAAACGTATCAAGTTAGTCTGGAGAAGAAAAGACCAACAAGAGCCTAAGGTTGTTAAAAAGGGACCCAAGAATGTTTGGGTTCCTAAATCTAATGTTTAATTTGTTCTTGTAGCTAAAGTGAAGGGAGGTACCTATTGGTATTTGGACAGTGGGTGCTCAAGACACATGTCCGGGGATAAGAAGCAATTCCTTTCACTAGTAGCCTTTGATGGTGGAAGTGTCACCTTTGGAGATAACAGTAAGGGAACCATCACTGGTTTAGGAAAAGTAGGTAAGACACTTTCAAATGCAATTGATAATGTATATTATGTTGAGGGCTTACATAGTTAACTCTCAAACAGGTGAGCTTGTGTGTGAGGGAATCAGGAAACATGATGTTTACATTACCTTTCTGGATAAAATTCCTCGAGACAAGTCTGTGTGTTTGAGAGCTGTTTCTGACAATAACCAATGGATTTGGCATAAGAGATTTGGACATGCTAGCTTGACACTCTTGAATAAACTAAAGTCTCGTGACTTGGTGGTAGGGCTCCCTAACATCACGTATGAGGCAGATAAAGTTTGTTCAGAATGTGTCAAGGGGAAACAGGTCAAGATCTCTTTTAAGCCTAAAACAGTTTTGAGTACCAGCAGACCCTTCGAACTTGCACACATTGATTTATGTGGTCCCATGAGAGTACAAAGTCGAAGATGTCATAGATATGTTTGTGTTATGGTTGATGATTATTCCAGGTACACTTGGGTGATAATGCTACATTCAAAAGATGAAACATTTGACGAGTGGGTAGCATTGGTGAAGCAGGTTGAGAACCAGCTTTCTCACAAGCTGGTCTCGGTAAGATCAGACCATGGTACTGAATTTGATAATGCTAACTTTGTCGGTTATTGCAGGGAACAAGGAGTTAGTCACAACTTCTCAGCCCCCAGAACACCACAGCAAAATGGTGTTGTTGAAAGAAAGAATAGAACTCTTGAGGAAATGGCGAGGACGATGCTCATTGAGAGTGGTCTTCCTAAGAGTTTCTGGGGTGAAGCTGTTGACACTGCTTGCTATATACTGAATAGAGGTCTCATGAGACCAAAGTTAAATAAGACTCCCTATGAACTCCTTAAAGGTCAAAAGCCTAATATTGCATACTTTCGTGTCTTTGGATGCAAATGCTATGTACATAACAATGGGAAGAACCAGCTAGATAAATTTGATCCTAGGAGTGATGAAGGAATCTTTCTTGGATATTCTGCTCAAAGCAAAGCATATAGAGTCTTTAATAAGAGGACTTTGTGTGTTGAGGACAGTGTCCATGTCATTTTTGATGAATTTAACATGTCTTCTGAGATTGCGCAGGTACAACCTGATGAAATGATTGGACTGATGGAGTTTACGGGGAACCATGATGTTGGTTCTCTAAGTGAAGTACAAGCAGATCTAGGCTCTCCTAATGCTTCACCAGATAATGATGGTGAAGAGCCTAGAGAAGAAAATGAGAACAACAAGAATTCAGAAGGGGAACCAAGACCTAATGGCTTCCCAAGTGATAGACAGGTAAGGAGTTTATGGGGAATGGATGAAGAAGCCTCCCCTGAACCTGAGGTAAGTGATGTTAATGGAAACAGCGTGAACATGAATCCTTCTGGTTCTATAGAAGAAGAAGTGATTCACGATCATGCTGGTTCCCAACCTAATGAAGAAGCACAAAATGATTTCACTTTCAAAAGTTATAAATTCGATTCCTCTCATCCCCCAGATCAGATCATTAGTAACATTAACAAGGGAATTCAAACGAGAAGAAATGTTTTTCAAAACTTTTGTGCTTTTTATTCTTTCCTGTCTAGTGTAGAGCCAACTGACTACAAAATGGCTTTGACCAATCCTGATTGGGTTCTAGCAATGCAAGATGAATTAAATCAGTTCCATAGGAACCAGGTTTAGCATCTTGTATCTAGACCAAAGGATAGGTCAGTCATTGGTACACAATGGGTCTTTAGAAACAAATTGGATGACCTAGGTACAATAGTCAGAAATAAAGCAAGGCTAGTGGTGCAAGGTTACAATCAACAAGAAGAAATTGACTATGATGAAACTTTTGCACCTGTAGCTAGATTAGAGGCCATTAGAATTTTGATTGCTTATGCTGCTCACATGAATATGAAATTGTTTCAGATGGATGTAAAGGCTGCCTTCCTGAATAACTACTTGAAGGAAGAGGTATATGTAGAGCAGCCACCTGCTTTTGAGGACAAGCTGTTCCCCCATCATGTATACAAGCTGGACAAAGCACTATATGGATTGAAACAAGCTCCAAGGGCTTGGTATGAAAGATTGTCTACCTTTTTTATGGAGAATGATTATAAGAGGGGAACAGTGGATAAGGCATTGTTCATCAAAACCAGGGGGAACCACTTGATTATAGTACAAATTTATGTTGATGATATTTTATTTCGTGCTACTAATCAGGTACTATGTGATGAGTTTGCTAATCTTATGCAGAGTGAGTTTGAGATGAGCATGATGGGAGAATTAGGATTCTTCCTAGGATTGCAGATTAAGCAAATGGAAAATGGAATCATGATTCATCAGCAAAAGTACTTGAAAGAGTTGCTGAAGAAATTTGGCATGGAGAACAGCAAGGCTTATGATACACCTGTTCCTACATCCACTAAATTGGATTCTGATCTAAAGGGAAAAGATGTTGAAACCTCACTATATAGAGGGAAGATTGGCTCCCTCCTTTATCTAACAGCCAGTAGGCCTGACATTGTGTTTTCTGTTGGATTATGTGCCAGGTTTCAAAGCAATCCAAAGGAGTCTCATTTCAAGGCTGTTAGAAGGATACTTAAATATCTTGTGGGAACAACAGATCTGTGCTTGTGGTACCCCAAAGGTAGTTCAATTGATCTTATTGGGTACACAGATGTAGATTATGCTGGCTTTCTTGTTGATAGGAAGAGCATATTAGGTATGGCACACTTTCTTGGCTATTGCCTAATTTCTTGGGGTTCTAAAAAGCAAAATTCAGTGGCCTTATCCACAGCAGAGTCGGAGTATATTGCTGCAGCTTCATGCTGTTCCCAGTTACTGTGGATAAGGAACCAACTGAAGGATTTTGGTGTTGTTTACGATAGTGTTCCTATCTTTTGTTACAACACTAGTGCAATTAATATTTCAAAGAATCCTGTCCAACACTCCAAAATCAAACACATTGAGATAAGACATCACTTCTTCAGAGACAATGTGGAGAAAGGTCTGGTGGAGTTGTTGTTTTGTAAAAGTGAAGATCAGATAGTCGATATCTTCACAAAACCTTTGTGTCGAGAGTCTTTTTGTAATTTAAGAGTCTTATTAGGTCTAGTTAGATTTTAGGTTTTTGGCTTCATTTACTTCCCTCAATGACTGGTTAGAATGGTATTCTTTTGTATAGTATGTGTCGAAATCCTTCAAGTTTTGTGTAAATGGTTTAAGATCCCAAAAGGGTTGAGAATCATTGGTGCAAGAAACAGGTGAAATCAGGCTAAGTTGCCAAAAATAGGGTGACGTGGCTCTGTATAGGTACCAGCAAAGGGAAACAACAGATCAGCTCAGATATGTCATCCGATTAATATTTTATATTTTTTGGAAGATTACTATAAGATATTTTCCTTTTAGAAGGAAATAATCTTATTTCAGTTATTTGACCCATTGATCAAGGCAATATATCACTTGCCTAATTTTTAGGTCGGTTGAGATATTTAAGGCAAATAATCATTGCCAAAATTGATTTCAATTTTTGAATTTGTTTCGTTGCTCTTTCTTTGGCTTAACCGACTTATTTTTTTTTCTTTTTTCTCTTATTTCTGTGCTACAAATATATGCTCTCTAACCCTTTGTTCGGCTCACAGCTCTCATCATCACTCGAAAATCTCTCTCCTTCTTGTTCTATGTTCAAAAGTTAAAAAACATCACTATTCACAACGGTTACTGTTCATCAGCTTCGTCTTCAATTTTCTGATCTACAATTGCATAATCGTCATGGGTAAGAAAACAAGCTCATCCTTAGCCAAAAGAGGCAAGGGAAGGGGACATGCAAGTGATTCCTCACAATCTCAAGGAAACACTGATGTGGCTCCTCACTCTCCTCAACTCGATCAAAACCCAACTGAACCTCCAACCAATGTCACTTCCAAAACTTCATCACCCACAAAATTACCAACCACCACCCTAGATCCACCACAAAAATCTACCTCACCACCAAAATCAACCCAACCAAAATCAAAATAAACCGTGCTTGTTACTGATCCTTCAGAAGCTGGTGGTTCCATCATTAAGGAACCAACTCAGTCTCAGGGGGAACATTAGAAGGAAGCACAAAAAACCCTAAGCCAGGAGTTGGAAGTCGTCAGTAATGAAGGTCAGAGTGTAGGAGATGATGAAGTAGAGGTCACTGGTCACAAGGAGGGGACACTCACTGAAGAGGTCATGGTACGTGGTAGGGTAACTCGGTCTTCAGTGAAGAAGGTTATTGAGGAAGTTCAGGAGGAACAGTCCATTGGTTCTGTTCAGGGAACCAAGAGGAAATGGGTACCAGCAAGAACCCCTCGCACTACAAAAGGTATGTCTGTAGAATCTCCAACTACTGGTTCTACTAACTTAAATGCTCGATTGGTTCTTTCTGGTTGTCGTGTTGATAAGGGATATTTTGATGTGCCTGCTTTGTCTGAGTTTAAAAGTTTGATTGAGTATCAAGGATAGATGCCATTGTTTGATTGTAGTGCTGCTAATGTGTCTGGAGTTAGAGATTTTTATGTGAATTTGAAACAGTTGCCTGATATGTCTGTTGGTTCTCGTGTGAATGATGTGGATGTAAGCTTGTCTGTTTCCACTTTGTCTAGTATGTTAAGGATGCCTAGGGACGGGTTTGATAAGTATTCTAGTGATTGGTGGCCCATGTTGGTAGGGGTCACTCGTGATGAGATTTATGAGTATTTGTTTGGAGGAAAGATGTCCAAGAAACCTGGTGTCTTTAAATCTGCAAGTGATGCTGGTTCTGCATTTGTTATGCAACAAGGTCTTGATCCCAAGGGCTCAAGGAAGGGGAACAGTACGCATCATGGAGATGGTTCTGATGTATCTCATGATGAAGAGAATTAAGATTAATCTCCCCTCTTTGATGCTGGATCACATTATAAATTGTTATGGTTCATCCCACCATTCTCTGCCTTATGGTTCTGTCATTACTCAATTGCTTATAAACAACAATGTTACTATGAGTGGGTTGACTGTGCCTGTCACGGTGTTCACAAAAGCAATCCTAAAGCTAAAGGGTCTTGACATTAGTGGTGATGAGTTAAGTTTTAAAATTGAGGAACCAGTAGAGGAGATAAGACCCCCATCAAAGAAGAAGAAGAAGAAGAAGAAGAAGAAGGTAGAGGAACCAGTAGGTCAGGAAGTGATTCTGAAACGGTTGGAGAATAAGGAGGATATGCTAAGAAAGATAATAAGTTTGGTTCAAGGCTTGTCAACTTCTTTCACTACTAGGATGGAGCAGATGGAGAAAAAGTTAGCTGAAACTGAAGCTCAGATGGCTCCGGGTATAGGTTCTGTTCCTCCACAGACTCAACCTGAGGAAGAAGAGCATGGTGAAGAAGATGAGGAGGATGAAGAGGAACCAGTTGTTGATGCAGAAGATGATGCTAAGTACGAGGAGGAGGAAGAGGAAGAGAATGATGATGAGGAGTGATGCTGGTTTCTGCTCTTGTTTCCCCTCCCCCTTATTTCTATTCTAAAATAACTAATTCTGTTGGTCTGTATATTTCTCACTCAATCCATGAACTTTATTTTTGATGTGGATTTGGGTTCCTTTTGTTGAACTTTGTTGGCTTGTATGGACCATTAATTCTACTATGGTACGAACTGTTTGACTAATCTCTTCTTGCAGCATACTACTTGAATGGTGGTTGTAACATACTACTTAAGAGTACTTTTTAATGATGCCAAAAGGGGGAAGTAGTGTACGAAAGCCTAGGATAGTGTAGAGTGTGTCAAGTAGTTCAGTTTTTAGTTCAGTTTGATAGTTTAGAGGAGTTAGTTTGATAGTTAGTTTTTGGAACCAGTTAGCCTCACTAACTTGTTCATTTGAGTCTTAAGTTTGTTGGTTGTATTCAAACCTATTTGAGTACTTAATTGGAGTTTGAAGGTTCAATGTGCACTCAAGAGGGGGGGGGGGGGGTGAATTGAGTGTTAAATAATCGTTATCAATTTTTGCTTCTTTTCGGATTATGTGTAAGGAACCAGTTGTGTTGGTTCCCTTATGCAGCGGAATAAAACAAAGCAATAAAGAACACCACAGATTTAACGAGGTTCAGACAACTCTGGCCTACGTCCTCCTATCCTAAGTCCTTTATTAATCTACTCCGAAAAATAAAGACAAAGAACACTCTACTGTTTCCCTACTCCGGGAACCAGTAAACCCCACACTCTACTCCGAATGTGCTCTAAACTTACCCTCGTAAGTTCCTAGTGTGTTTGAACTCACAAACACTCACCAAGTCTTCAACCCCTCTGTCAAAGACTTAATACAAGATCAAGAACTCTCTAATGATCTAACTCTCAAAAGTCAAATAGAGAAAAACGTTAAAACACTATTATGCTCTTGTGTATCACTTAATAATTGAATTAGTGCTTTTAGCTCTCAAAGAATAGAACTCTATTGAAAATGCGTGAGAGCCATCTTTCTGATTATTCAGAGTAAGATGTATATAGGTTAGTTGGCTAAACCCTTAAATCATGCATATAAGATATATGCGATTTTATGATAAGTATTTATCCTAATTAATTTGATCACAAGATAAAATCAATTTAGGATAAAATACTTCCTAGTTTTTAGCTAACCAAACATATCATCTTATCTTTAGCTGCTTGGATATATTTTAAATCAATATTTTTCGGAAATTATCCTTTTTCTAAAATCTTTGTAAAAACAGCAGCTTGAATAATCTGTTCAATTAACCTGGTTCCCTGACCTGGTTCCCTGAACTGAATATGTTATGAAATTTGTTCCAAACCTTGTACTAAATTTCATAACGATATTTAATATATTAAAAGCACTTTATATACTCAATTATATAAGTTATACTACGGAGCATTTACATGAAGTTCCTAAATAACTCTTTGAGTGTAGTCTTCCTTCATGCATTCGTTAAGTCTTGAAAGCTTCCATGAATGAACTTAATTATTGACCAAAGGACCTTCCTTTAAGTTGATCGAAAATCCTTTCAAGCTTCCAATCTAAGAAATCAACTTAGATACTGCACATTTAACAAAGTTAATGTACAATACTAAATAAGTAACTGCCTTTCATAAAAGCAGTTTGAGAGAACAATTTATATTGGTTCCATACCAGTGCATAGCTCATTTATCATCGAACTGTTCCCTGTATAAAGATAAGTTAGTTCAACAACTATCTCATTTAAGTAATAACTTATCTAGGGAAACAATGTTCTATTTTAGCTGGTTCCCCCAACTGTATTGAACACTTTCAAAGACCTGTTTCCCTTAGTTGTTTGTCATCATTCAAAACTATCAATCAAAACCTAAGGGACTCAACAAATTCCCCCTTTTTGATGATGACAAACATTTGAAGTTTCTGCACCTGTGAACATACTCAAAAGAAAGTAGTCAAAAACTTCAAGAACTCAAGACTCAATGGAAAAAGTCAGTTAAGCCAACTGGTTCCCTAAACAGAAAATAAAATAAAGTCAAAGTAAAAGTAAAAAGACTAAAAAACGACTCAATCTAAACTAGTAAAGACTCTAGGCTTCAACTTCAACTATTTTCCCCCTTTTGGCATCATTAAAAAGATATGCAAAAGTAGCATCTTATGCATAAAGTAACTTGCTAAACCATCCAATGGCATCAACCATTATACAAATAAAGTGCTGCAAAAGAAGGTCAGATTATTCAAAATAAAGCCATGCCATCAATAAAGATCATAGTTTAATATAAACCAACAAAAGTGAACGATAGAGCCCAAATCCATATCAAAACAAGTTCATGGATTGGGAGGAATAAAAACAGTCCAACAGAATCAGTTATTCAGAATATATAATAAAGGTAGGCTAAATGAAAAAGAAAACAGATTCAATCATCATCATCATCATTTTCATCATCTCCTTCCTCTTCTTCAGTGTCAGCCTCCTCAGCTGCTTCATCCTGGTTCTCCTCCTCTTCATTGTCATCTTCCTGCTGGTCTACTTGCCGGTCCTCCTTAACTTGTTCCTTCTCAATTCCAGAACTACCAGCAACCTGTTTCGCTAACTTGCTCATCCTCATAATAAACGAAGTAGATAAACCTTCCACTAAGGTCACTAACTTGCTAAGCTGATCCCCTACAACACTCATCTTCTCTTCCTGACTCTCCAGCCTCTTAAGAATAACCTTCTGACCTGCTGGTTCCTCTGCCTTCTGTTTCTTCTTGGCAGGCTTAGGAGTCTCTACTGGTTCCTCCTCCCTAAACTTCAGCACCCCAGCACTTATGATCAACCCCTTTTGTTTCAGAATTCCTTTGGTAAACACTATTACAGAAGCAGTTGATCCACTAAGAGAAACATTATTCTCTTTAAGAAGCTTAGTTATGTAAGATCCATAAGGAAGAGAGTGGTGGGATGAATTATAACAATTCATCATATGGTTTATCATTAGGGAAGGAAGATTTATCTTAATCTTTTTCATCAGCAAATATATAAGCACCATTTCCATGATGCGCACAAAACCCCTACCTCGTGCTCTAGGGATAATCATCTTGTTACACAGAGAATGAAGAACCAACATCAGTGGTTCCTTCAAGCTACCAGTTTTAAAAGTTCCAGCTTTCTTTGGAACTTTCCCTCCAAACACAAAGTCATGCACTTCATCTGGACTGACCCCAATAAGTGTGGGCCATCCATCTCCAGAATACTCATCAAAACCATCTCTGGGTATATTCAACAACCCAGCCAAACTTGGACCAGACACATTCACTTCAACATCATTCACAACTTAACCTAACGACCTATCCAACATTTGTTTCAAATTCACATAAAACTTTCTAACACCATCAATATTAGCATCACAGACATCAAACAAAGGCATCCAACCCTGATTTTCTAACAACTCTTTCACATCACTTAAGGCAACTTCATCAAAATAACCAACTTCTCTTTTACACCCAGATTACACAATCCTAGAACCTAAATCAGTCATACCAACAGATGGAGATTCTACTGACATACCTCTTATAGACTTCCGTGCTGGTCTCTTTTGTTTGGAACCAGCAGATTCCATCGACTGTTCCTCCACTACTACTTCACCAATCTTTTTCGGGGAAGACCTAGTCACTCTGCTGCGAACCAAGGGTGTTGAAGTCCCCTTTTTTTGCCCAATAATCTGCAGATCCTCCTTTTCACTTCTAACTTCCTCCTCTTCCCTTTCTCCAACAGTATTGAAGAGTTCTTCAGCGTTTTTGGGCTGGTCCCCCTGAGATGAGGCAGGTTCTTTGATGACGGAATCATCAGCCTCAGGGGTTTTGGGTAAAGGGGCATTTTTGGGAGGTGGAGGTGAGGGTGATTTAGAAGATGGAGACGGAGGTGGTGATGGGTTCTTTGTGGTGGTAGGAGGTGAATTGCTCGATGAAGTCGGAGTAGGGTTAGTTTCAGTGATGGAGGTCTCCTTCAATTGAGTGGACTCACTTGCTTGAGTCTTCTCCTTTCCTTTCTTAGCTGAAGTCTTGGCTGATTTCCTTCCCATTGTAGCAAACAAGCTTCAGACTTTAAAGGAATTTGAGAGAGATGAAAACGGAGTGAACAGTGATTAGGGTACCACTTTTGAACGAGAGAGAAGATGAATTGAATGATGATTTGATGTGAAGCTGTATCAATGTGTTAATGTGTATTTATATCAATCGCACAGACATATGAATTCCAAGAACTAGCTGGTTGAGAATCAAAATAAACAGAAAAGATAATTTCAAAAATTGAAAATTTAAAATATGGTAATTATCTTTTTACCAAAAAAAATCAACCAACTATAAAATAGGCAATTAAATGTATTTTCCTCTTTGTAGGATAGGAATAACTGAAATAAGATAATTCTTTCCAAAAAGAAATTATCTTATAGTAATCTTCCAAAAATAAAATATTTTCGGATGACATATCAGAGCTGAACTGTTGTTTCCTCTTGCTGGTACCTGTACTGAACCAGTCATTCTATTTTCAGCATGTTTCAAAATTACTTCTCTTTTTTCTATGCAACAATAATCCACTTAGGTTATTTACACAATATTTGTAAGTAAGCAACATAGTTATATACATAATCAATACAAAAGCATACTTATTCTAACCAATCATTGAAGGAAATAATTGAAGCCAACGCCTAAAATCTAACTAGACCTAAAAGGACTCTTAACCTACAAAAAGACTCTCTACATAAAGGCTTTGTGAAGATATCAGCTATTTGATCTTCACTTTTACAAAACAACATCTCCACCAATCCTTTTTCCACATTGTCTCTTAGAAAATGGTGTCTTATCTCAATGTGTTTGGTCTTGGAGTGTTGCACGGGGTTCTTTGAAATATTGATTGCACTAGTGTTATCACAAAAGATAGGAACACTTTTATAAATAACACCAAAATCTTTCAGCTGGTTCCTTATCCACAGTAGTTGGGAACAGCATGAAGCTGCAGCTATATATTCTGACTCTGCTGT